CAGGCCAACATGACTTACGGGGGGAAAATGGAGGCTCGGGTGCCTATTAGGACTTCTGGGGCCACAGAAGTTAAAGGGCCAGGTTAGAAAATGTCCTCACACATGAAGACGGAATTTTCAAGCCACAGAAGAAACTGACACTCACTTTGGTCACCAAGTCGTTCAGCCACCCTCCTGGTCTTCCTTTGGGGTCTTCCTCTGGGATCTCTTGCCAAAGGGTAGAGTTCTGCGGAGATGCTAGGGAAGAGAAAGAGTTCACAGTGGAGGTTAGCCCTTTCTGAAGAGCCGAGGAAACTCTTCACCAGTCGATGCCTACATTTTCTTAAAGTGAGGAGTCAGAAGAAAACCAGAAACAGCATACCCACTTCAAGGAACCAGAGGGAAGGGTCAATGGCTTATCCTAAGACATCAGCACAGGCTTCAAAAGCAAGCCTGCTCTGGGACTCTGAAGAGTATGTACCAAATTCACAACGTTCTTCTAAATCTTCACACAACATAAATTCTGGGAGCTGTCTCTTAGTGGAAAAAAAAATTTCTCTGGACACTTTTCTACCTGTTTGGAAGTATGTTACCATAAAATCCAAGTCAAAAAGCAAACAATGTATCAGCAGAATGGTTCAAACCTCTGTAGAGAAACTTCCTGAGGGCTCACCTGGGGGGAACTTGGTTGTGTCTGGTCCCAGTTTTGTGACACATGTGGCTGGGTTTAGAGAATGTGTGTTTGTTTCTAAGCACGCAGTAGGAGAAAGCCATGGGGGGGAGGTGCTCAGGTGAAGCCCGTTCTCACCCACTCACTGACCTCCATCCTCCTAACCCCTTCAAAGGGCTGCTCTCTGACATGATGGCTCTCTCCTCTGACCACCCAGGATTCCTCCCCTCTCTGCCTGACAAGCCTTACCTTCTTCTTCCTCTAGAATCTGAGTCAAGTCCTCCACCAGAGTCACCACTTCCTCGCCGCTCCTCGGGTACTGGGACTTCACCCAAGTCCTGACCTCCCCGGGCAGGATGGTCAGGAATTGCTCCAGAACCAGCAGCTCCAGGATTTGCTCCTTGGAGTGAATCTCGGGTCTCAGCCACTTAAGGCAGAGCTCTCGGAGCTGATTCAGTGCCTTTCGAGGTCCAGCCAGGTCTGGGTATGGAAAATTCCTAAAATTCTGCCGACAGGTCTCAGTGTCACGCAAGAGCCTTGAAGCGAGGGTTTCCTTATCCACACCGCGGGGTCCGCTCTGAGCCCTGTCTGGCTTCCACATGAAAAGAACTTGGGCGCGTGAAGAACTGGTCATCCTCTTACTCGGGGTGAACATTGCTACAGGCAGGAGGGTCAATCTGTCAGTAGCCTTTATTTCTCTGGGAGTGAGCCAAGTGCGTGAAGTTGCATGCTAGAGTCACAGAGACACTTTTCAAGAGAACAGAGTCAAGGCAGGGTTGGCAGCAGCCTAACTTACAAATTCTGGGCCCAGAACTTGCCGGGATGGTGAATAGACCCTGAAACACAAGAACAGACCGCAAGGTCGAGAATTTCTGGCGCTCTCTGCCATACACACACACAAACAGAAGCAGACAACCCAGAGTGTACAGATAAACACAGACTTCACAGTGGTCTCCTTCCCTGATATCCTCCGACTTGTAAGACAAATGCAACCTGCTGGGGCACAGGTTGGGACAGCCATAAAAGGT